CCCCGCAGCCCGGCCCCGCAGCCCGGCCGCCGCCGCAGGGCCGGCGGGCAGCGAGCGGCAGCCGGCGGCATGAGGCGCGACCCGGCGCCCGGCTTCTCCATGCTGCTCTTCGGCGTCTCCCTCGCCTGCTACTCGCCCAGCCTCAAGTCGGTGCAGGACCAGGCGTACACGGCGGCGGTGGTGCTGGAGGGCAAGGTGCAGTCCGTGGGCCCCCCCGCCGGCGGCAATGACAGCCGCGGCGCCGGGCCCGCCGGGGGGGTCCTGGTCAAGGTGCTCGACCTGTGGCCCCTCAACAGCGGGGGGCTGCAGCGGGAGCAGCTCATCAGCGTGGGCTCCAAGGCGCCCTGCTTCAAAGTGAAGCGCAACCACCGCTACATCTTCTTCCTCGAGCCCACCGAGGAGCCGCTCGTCTACCGCACCGCCTTCGCGCCGCTCGACACCAGCGGCAAGAACCTCAAGCGGGACGTGGCGCGGATCCTCTGCGCTGACTGCGGTACGGGCCGCGCCGCGGCGGCGGGGGGCGGCGGGGGGCGATGGCGGAGCGGCGGCGGGGAACGCTGGCCCCGCGTCCCGGGCGGCCGCGGGGCGACAGGTCCGTACCCGCCCGGAGCTGGAGGGGGGACCTGGGCCGGCGATCGATTCCCCACCCCCCCCACCTCTCTCCCGGTGGGCCCCGGGAGCCTCGCCTGCACCGGGGGGAGATGCGATATGATGCGATGAGATGCGATACGATGCGATGTGATGTGATGCGATGCGCTCCGCTGGGCCCGGCCGCCGCAGCCGCGCTGCCCCCCATCCCCCTGCCCAGGATCTCCCCTCTCGCTCGGCTCAAGGTCCCGCAGCCCCGGCCCTGCCCCGCGCCAGCAGCGCAGCCCCGAGCCCGGTGCGGGGAGCGCCCGCAGCCCGCGGCCGCCCGGCGCTGCCGCGCGGGAGCCCCCGGTGTCTCGGCGCGGTCCCAGCGCCCCGGTGCCGCTCTCCTCTCCTCCTCGGGGGCCTCGGCCGTGGCAGCCCCGGCCGGGAGAGCCGCCGGCCGATGGGGCTCCACTAACTCCGGTGGCGACCCCCTCCCCTGATGCGGAGGGGGTCGGGCCCGGGATGCTGGTCTGGGGCAGGGGCAGCGCTCCAGGTGTGCCCTAAGAGCCGGGAAGTTTTGCCTCTTCCCAAATAACGGCCTCGCGGGGGGAAGCTGGGTTTTCTTTTGTTCGTTCCGCGCATTTCGGTGTCTCCGGTCGCGGCTCTCGCGCGGTGGCTTGTGCTGTTCCTCCAGCACCTCTGGAAACGCGGTTATGAAATGACTTCAACGGGAAGCGCCCGCCGGAGCGTCCCTGCTTTTGTGCCTGAATTTTCCTTGCTGTCCTTTGGCAGGTGAACACCTGCGATGGGCTGGGCGGCGGGGACCGGGCGAGCACAATGCCTGCATTTTCTCAGGGTTCGGATCTGAGTTGACAAAAATGCACGCCTGGCCCTCCATCCAGCCTGAATGCTGGATACTGTGTCACAAAATCCGGGGAAGGCCGGTGTTAACCCGGAGAGCTCCGAGTGCCGCGCCATGCCCTCAGCAACGGATTGAATCTCTCGTATTTGATGTGTTACGAGGATATACAACGTGTATCTCGGGGGAATCCAGGCTCCCCACTCAATGGCAGCAGGACACATCCTCATCAGGCTAATTGGCCTTTTGCCTCATTAAAAGCACGTACTTTGTCAAGTTATACTTAGCTCTGTAATGACCATAGGTGTACTGCTTTGTGGTGGTTGTTGTTGTGTCATTAACTGGATGTTTCTGGGGCAAGTGCTCTGCCATTCAGGGCTGATGACCCTGGATTGTCAAAGCCAGACCTGTCTCTTTTTTTAGTTATCCAAAAGATAAATTTAGAGCTCGCGTTTCCTGGGAGAAAGGTGGAACCATAATATGTTGTTGAGGAAAATGGGCTAGGACTGCATGCGAGAAAACTAATTTGGGAGGCACTAATTTCATGTGCAACTGTATGTGGGCCACCGTGGAAAGAGAGGATTTAGTGAAAGAGCTGTGGCAGAGTTAAGAGGAAGGTAAATGGGGGAGTTTCTCAGGACCGTGGTCTCATTGCCAGGGGAAAACACATCAAAAGGTATGTGGCTCTTATTTTTCTTTTTTACGTTGAAAAGGATTCCAAACTTGCGCATCTCTGAGCAGCAGGGTTCGACTTTAAGGGGAACGGAGGCTTCTCCGTGGCATCCTGGCTCAGGCCCAAAGCGTTAATGTGTGGGCTGATGTAACAACAAGTTAAGAGTTGTCATTCTGCCGTGACACCTTCTTGGAGCTGATGCTTTTGTTTCTGTGTGGCTCTGATGGGCTGACTCGGCTCCCGGGCTGAGGGATGCTGCAAGTTGGTGGGAGCGTTGTCTCAGCAGAGCTTTATGGCACATTCCAAAGGAAAAATAAAAGCTGGTGGTTGGGAACCGTTATAGCTGTGGTTTGGGTCTGTGATGAAGATGAAACGGGAGCCTCATCTTGCTGAATTGGTGGTTCCCCGAGCACTTCATGCTCAGGGTTCAGCTGGGAGGTTACTTCTGAAGGTGACATTCGTGGCGGGATCTTCTGATTTGTAGCACCTGAGCTGCTGGAAAGGTGTGTGAACTGGGAAACAAGGCCGTGGTCTGCCTTCCTGCTCTGTGGTTTGTGCTGGGAGGGCAGATCTGGAGGGGTGCAGCGGTATTTCCCGTTCTTGCTGCAGATGGGGGCTGTGACAGCTCCAGAGCTGGCAGGGGGTGGATGTCCAGGCACAGCATGTGCTCCGAGGGACAGCTGGGCTGCAGCTGAGTGAGGGATGTTACAGAGCTGGGGGACAGATGTTGGGGTCACTTCTGAGTGGGAGGAGGGGACCCTGTGGCTCTGATCACTCCAATCCTCCCGCTCCCAAAGATGGAGGCCTCGCAGGACCATCTTCTCCCTGCTCTGGCTCTGTGCCTGGGTCTGTTTTCCAGTGATTCATCCCCTTCTCACTGGCTAAGATGCTGTGTGTCTCCTGCTCTTGCTGCTTGCCGAGGTCCGGGATGCGATGTAGGATTAGACCTGTCATTGGACAATCCGTGTCTCTCTCCAAGGAACAGTCTCTGCTGTTTGCACAGCTCACTTGGAGGACAGAAAGTGGGTGCTGAGGCTCTGCAAGGGACCCAGACCCTCACTGGGCAGAGCTAGGAGGGCTGGAGGTGAGAGAAGGGTGGCGTGGGGTGTGGGAGGCAGAACAGGAGTGCTGGTCTGTTCAGCTGGTGTGCGTGGGGGTCTGGCCTGGGCTGTTTTGTGTGTGCCCCTTGAGCAGAGATCCAGGGAGGGGGATCCTTGCTTTGGCCATCCCACTGCTGGGCAGGCTCTGGAGCCTGGAACTTCCCCACCTGCAAACCCCAGAGGTGTGCAGCCTCTGCAGCTCTGGGTTTGCATGGATTTGCATCTCCTTGGCACACAGGGAGCAGCTGGTCCCTGGGCCTGGCATCCTGTGGGTCTCACCACCCACTTGCCCATCTTAAAACCTCTTCTGCACTGGGAGTATTATTGTTTTTTTCATACTGTTATATAACGATTCCTGTTATTGCTTCTCCTCCTGTCTCTTTTCTTCATATCTTTTAGCTCCTTAATTTTGGATGGTCTCATATCTGCTTTGTGCCTACATGCACAGATCAAGGAGGAGGAAATAGGTGCAAGACACAGTGCTGGCTCTCACTGGTGTGGGAGCTGGAGGCATTATCCCCTCTGGGACCACTCCTGAATCCAGAGAGGGGATTGAGGTCCTGACCCTCCCGGTCTTTAAGGGTAGCTTGTGTCAGCACCTGCTTCCTAATCTGGATGAGTCCATGCTTTCTGTGCAAAAGGTATGTGCAGATATTTTGTACATGGGAGAGTGAGGATTTAACCTGTCTGGGCGCTTGATTTCTGCTTTCACAGAGGAACAAACATCTTCCTGCCTCCATATGCAGGGAGTTGCAAAGTAGCTTTAATTAGAGCTTGTATGTCTCCTGAAGCACCTCACCGAAAACGCTGCCGAGATCCAGGATGAGGTCTGTGACTCGCCTGTAGGATTAGCTAGCTTAGCCTGGGCAGGTAATCTGGTGGTGGCAGATCCCTGGGAGGATTTGCAGGCAGAGGACCTGTTGTTGCAGCAGGTACTTCTGGTGAGATGAGTTATTTATTTTTTTTTCCAGTCCGAAGGTGCATTGGTCCCAGTGAGAATCAGGAAAGTGCTGGGGCTGTGGCATTGGCCTCAGTGGCCACATGATGCTGGGAGCTGTTTATCTGCTGATTCTGGAGCCAGGTTGGTTAGAGCTGGCCTGCAAAGGGAGGAGGGAGCCCGGATTTTGAAGTGCCCGCTGGAAAATACAGCCCTCTGGATTACAGTGTAGGTGTTGCTGCCTGAAATAGCACTGGCAACTTTGGGCCAGCAGCTCATGCAAAAATATCCCTCTCTACTGTCCTGCAGATCATCGGGCTCACTCCAAGCCAGGCAGGCGCAGGGGAGGGGTGTGGGGAGGCTCCAGCCGCTGGTGACGGTGCTCTCCCTCCATCCCAGGACAGCTGTGGAACAGGGAGCAGCAAAGCTGGATTTTCTCACGCACCACCTTGCTAATTAGAGCTGTCTGAAACTATTTCTCACCACCCTCAGAAAATCACACTTCCTTGGGTTCGCAGAAGAGTGAAAACTTGCTTCCTTCTTGCCTTGGGTTTCTGCAGATGGGGAGCGGTCACTGTGCTGCAGAGAGCTTTGACCCCTCGCAAGGACAGCACATTTCTGGGAGCTCTCTCAAATCCTCTCATGCAGGATTTGGTCTGGAGTGGACCTGGGATGGCTGAGTCCTTGTGGCCAGGTCAGCTCCTTGTGTCCCAGACGAGTCAGCCAGGATCTGGCAACTGGAACTTTGCTCGGCTGGTGCTGTAGCTCCAAGTGACTTTCGTGGTACCTGACACAACGGAGGTTGTCCCCTCCCATGCATGTGTTGTGTGCAGAGCAAAGCCTGGCTATTTTCTCAGTCCCCCTTTCAGAAACGTTTGACTAAATAAAGCATCTCCCTGAGGATCTCTGTGAGTAAGAGGAGACTTAAACGGCTCCTGAGTAATCCCAGCAGTGCTGAATTCTCTGTCTAGGGTTGCTCCATGCCCAGGCCCTGGCCCCAGCTGCTGCTTGGTGGCCCTTTGTACTCTGCCAGCTGACAGCCCTTAGATATGGGCCCTGAGGCAGAACGCCCTTTCTAAATCATGGGCGACACCTTGGCTTGGGTTTGGATCTGGATCAGAAACTGGTGCATGCCTGGAAGCACAGAGGCAATAAACTCCATCATTGGGCAAGAAGGAGCCATGCTCTGCTGCATCTGAGCTCCCTGCTTCATTTGGGCTGCGTAAGGCAAAACACACCTTGGTCACCAGGGCCTTGAGCCTTCAAGCGCTTGGCACACCCCAAAATCTGCTGCAAAGTGCCACAAGGGATCAGTTCTGGTATTGTGCTGCTGGGCTGAGGGTGCCTCTCC